TTTAAAACTATTTTTCAAGACTGGAAAAGTAATTGACAAATCAAAACTTTGTAAAACAATCCATATATCCCAGAGATATGGTGCATGATATGAAATACAAAATTGATTAAAGCTTGTTTTACAAACCGGTTCATTTACAAAATTATTATTTCTTAAGGTGTATTTGTTTATGGATTTAAAAAAAAAATCTTTAAAAACTAAAGGGCATAAATCGTTTTTCCACATATAAATGAAACATAAAACATTGAATACATTTAATTCGTATACATTGAGTATTTTCGTTTCCATAAAAAATATTTTAGTATGTGTGAATCGATCTGCAAAATTGACGCATAGGTAAAGACGTTTTTTTTGACGATGTCAAATTGTCGGTGGTAAAGACGTTTTAACTTGCCTGTACTACCCCAGGCAATAATTGCATAAATTATACAACTGTGAACAAATGAGTAAAAAAGTTGTTAAACTTTTTTTATTTAAATATATTCTGGCCTTTGTATGAGATACCAATACTTATAGGCCCTTAAGCGCAAATGTAATTAATATATTGTTTCCATGTAATGTTCTTGTCAAGAAAAACACCTAAAAACTTTGTAACTAAATCTCTTTTTATTTTAACTTGATCAATAAAAATTGCGGCATATTTCTGGGTAAGAAACGTTTTTTGGAAAGGGGATGAAAGAGAATCCATTTTGTTTTGTTTATGTTTAGGGTTAATTTGTTACATTTCAACCTACTTGATACTTTTTTCAATTCATCTTCCATAGTCAAAAAGAGTTGGTAAATATTTTATTAGAGAGAAACAAATTGGTATCATCTGCCAAAATGATACTTAAAAGATTTAAGACTTTATATAAGTCATTTACGTAAATCAAAAACAAAAGTGAAAAAAAAAAAAAGAATTAACTTGAAAAAATTAATCACACCTATTCAGTATCAAATGTTGATTTTTATAGTAAAATTATACCTACTAATTAAAAATTTAATCTAAATTTATTTCCTGCATATTTAAGTAATACTTATAAAACTTTGTATACCTTTTACTTATATTAATGAAATATATAGTTTTCCTATTAAGTAATAAATGTGTGTTTCACACACGATTTTATTACGTTTTGTAACAAACAAAAATTTATATATAGAAATATGTTTGTTTAGGGACCGTTATGTTATGGCTAGCATAATCTAGCATAGAGATAGAGATCGATGGTGAAAGTACAAAAGTATGGCTGAAAAAATTAAACGGAAAGAGCAGAGGGATGATTATATCAAGCAGTAAACAAACTCAATTTTAAAGTTTGTAATTAAAATCCCTAGTCATTCAAGACATCAAATGAAGATAAAGAACATAGGGTAATATGTTCTTCATTTTCATTTGATTAGGATGAAAGTGAAAGCAATAGAAAAACTAGCGGTTGTCAAGCTCAGCAAGAAAAAGTTATAAAACAATATGGAAATTAAGGTGCAAATAGAAGAAAACTGAAATTTCGACATTGAAGATCCTAGCATGCTATCCATTGATTGAATAAAAGGTAACTTTAGTAGCTAAGAATTGTCCGGTACAAAGTTGCCCAATTTAATTTCCCTAAAAACGATAATAGTTTTTCTAAAACATATACATTCGTAACATTTGTAAGAATACAAACAAATGGGCAAAGGACAACACGAAGATGGTGAATTTATTCTGTCTAAAGATAAAGTTTATTGTTTCGTTTATAAATTATTTTCTACTACAGATATTTTATTGGGGGCAGACAGGTTATGCAATCGGTCTTCTTTAACACTGCGTATCAAAATGCACGAAAGATCTATTCACGAATCATAAACAGCTGGCTTCAAATTGAACAGAATTTTTGCACTGCCAATCTACTTGACAAAGAGTGCGAACAACTTATAAGACTTGAAACAGCACAATGAGAAGATGTTTTTCATAGAATAACGGCTGTTATTTTATATTTGACTCAACCTAGTTTGGCTTTCCCAGGAAGTTTTGATACTCTGAACACAGCATACAGCGGTAATTTTTTGTGTTTGATTTAATTGATTGCCAAAATTGATTCTGTTCTAAATAATCAGTTAAATAAACCTTAAAAAGAAATCTTTATTTATTACATTCAATTCAAAATAAATCAATAAGTTCAATGGCAAATAAAGTACAATAGTTAATGATCGAACCAATAAAAAAAGCAAAATATTATTCCATTTTGTTGGATTGTACACCAGATGCCATCAAGAGCATCTTCGTTATATACAACATAATTATTAATATTAACATAATATTCATTCTTCGTTGTTCTTCGTTATGTCAACATAACAGACAAAAAGAAATCAAGGAACATTTTATTAAATTTGATTTAGTTCACAATACAACAGAAAAAGGACTATCTAAATCTATCATGCTGATTCTGGATTAGTTGGGAATACGAATATGCGACTGTCGTGGACAAGGATATGACAACAGTGCTAACATTAAGGGAATATTTCAAGGTTCGTGTTGCGGAGTTAGAGAGTTGAAAGAGGTCTATAACCACAATAAGTAGCCTCCTCATCTGCAGTGGACTTCTCGGCCTTGGGGAGGTGAATTAACAGGAAAAAAAAAATAGTCTCTCACCAAAATGTACCAGATCTAAACAAATTGCTGAACTCAATTGTAAAACTAAAGAAACTTCATGCAAAATCGAGAAAAATTGAATTTTTGAATCTAAAGTTCATAAGAAAATTTTTTTTTTAATATTTCTTGTATATTTTTACAGATTACTAACTGTTCTGTTTAGAATTTGTTAATAAAAGTTGCTTATTTATTACTATTACTCTTTTGAATAATGAAAAAAAAAATTGGGGCGGACATTTTTTTTTTTTAATGTTATTTACATTCCTAAATAAGGAACTACTGAATAAGCGCGAGTTTTATAAGTGCAAACTGGCATAAGTGCGAATGGCGTAAGCGCGAACTGGCATACACGTGAATTGGCATATCTGCGAACTGGCATAAGTGCAAATTGGCATAAGTGCGCCAAATAAATTTGCAAACATTGGCATAAGTACAAACTGGCATAAGTGCTAATTGGCATAAGTGCCAATTAGCATAAGTGCGAATTGGTATAAGTGCGAAATAATAATTTGCACTTATGCCAATATTTGAAATTTTATTAGGCGTACTTATGCCAATTCGCAGTTATGCCAATTCGCACATATGCCAATTCGCGCTTAAGCAGCCTCTCGTTAAATAACACAAAGTGTTTCATCAATTGCAAGTAGTTTCATGAAAAAAATTTTTGTTTTTAACCTACCATACACTGTAAAGTTATATATACACTGTATAGTATATATACAATTACTGTATAGTATACAGATACTGTATAGTATACATCTAATGCCCGTCATGGTTCGGCAATATATCCGTCAGTATAACGGGTTTTTTGTTGTGCTGCTCGTGGATTCAAATAAAACCTTTACGACTCGCTAAATGCCAAGTTTAACGCGATTTTAGAATAGTTATTGCGATAATGACATGTGACTTAAGACACTAAATGTTGTAAGTTTAACTCATAAGTTAAAACTTAGAAACTTGTAATTTCGAAATTAATACAACAAAATGTCTTTTTTTTTTTGGTTAGTATCATAAATGATATAGAAATGAGCAATAATTACTTAAATTAAGTTAACACAGTTATTTAGTTAAAATTAAGCCTTAATTTTAACCAAATAACTGTGTTATTTGGTTATAATTAATGTGCTGTTAGCGAAATTATTTTCATGCACATTAAAGTAAATTGGTTTTGAATGTAGCATATTTAAAACGACTATCTGAAATTACATACTGCCTAGTCTCAGAATGTATTAAAATGTTTTTTTACTTAGGAAAAATAAAAAAGTAAAATTTGTTAAAAAATTTGTTAAAAAATTTGTTGTTCCTTTATTAAGCCTAATAAAAGAAAAAAGTTACGAATCTTAGACATCTAATGAATGATCTATTACATACTAGATGATCTATTATAATAAAGTCCTTGATTTTCACTGAAATTTTCTAAATTGGCCTAAATTACAACTTTATTTTGAATTTTAGTAAATATTGTTTATAATTATTAGAAATTGAACTTTCAACTTCTAATAATTGCTAAAGATGATAAAAATAATTTATTAGCTTGCAAAACTTTGCCAAAAGTTTGGTTAACAAAGTTTAAACTGCAAAGAAGTTTAGGTAGGTTAACCAACTTTCTTTGCTTGACTTGTTGCTAAAAGATATACCATCAGTGGTATTTATAACAAGTGTCACTTATTTGATTTGAGTCACATAACAAGTGACAAATAATAAACATAACACACTGTCAAATAACAAGGTTGTCACTTATTTAATATCTATCTATAATAATAGTATTAAATGTAACATATAATCAAAAAACCTAACAAATTGTGAAATCGTTTTGTTATTTAGTTAAAGTTCCAATTATTAATTTGAAAAAAAAGTTTTTTTTTTTTTTTTTTCAATTACCTAACTAAAGTTTTATTTTTTATGATTATTTAAAATTGATTAAAATACAAAAGACTCACATCTCTCTAATTGCTAATTCAGAAAGATGCAAAAGTATAAAAATTACAAATTTTTTTTTGCTACAATAAATGCTTTAAAATGGGATTTCTTTGGACATGACAACTTTAGAGAAAAAACTTAATATTTAGTATCTGTATGACTAAATATAATAATATAAATAACCTGATGTATATATATATATATATATATATATATATATATATATATATATATATATATATATATATATATATATCAGCCCTTGGAATAAAAAGAAAACAAAGGACAACAATCTTTTGCCAACATGATTTTTTTAATTCTAATATAAATATGCATATATATGTATATATACATATATATACATATGTATATACATATATATATATATATATATATATATATATATATATATATATATATATATATATATATATATATATATATATATATATATATATATATATATATACATACAGGTTATTATTAAAAATAAATGCATCATTGAATATGGTTTCCTTGCCAGATGTCAGATTACTTTTCCAAACTCATTCAATTGAAGAAATAAATGTTATTGAAAAAAAAATAAGGTAAGTTTTAAATTTTTAAAATCTTTTATTGTGGTTATGTTTGTAGTATTTATTATCGTAAAATATAATAATATAGTTTTCTCACATAAATAAAACAATAAATTGAGAATTTTCTCATAAATTAACAAGAATAACTGGTCTATACTATTAAATAATAATATATATATATATATATATATATATATATATATATATATATATATATATATACACTATTAAAAGAATAACAAAAGAATTATGCAATACACATCGTTTTAGGTAACAAAAATAAAATAGCTATAATGGGCGAGGCATCAGCGAATAATGTGAATAATTTTAACCAGATAATATTTATTATGTATATGTTTTAAGGAATTTTCTACTCTTAATTTAATTCTATTATTATTGCTATTATTATTGTTGTTATTTTTTATTATTATTATTATTATTATCATCTTAACTATTTTTTTTTACGACCGCAATGCTGCTGTTTTATTTCATTGGCCAATCTATTAATCTTTAATCTATTAATCTAAAGAATCTGTCTCTTGAAATTCTGAATATTTCATTGAACTTTATTTTTTCCCGATACCAAATAGTGTTTCAGAATAATTGAAACATTAGAATGATCATTTGTAAATCACACAATGCTATATTTGGTTAATAAACAAAGCGACTAAGATAGACATTTTACTTTCACAGAGTCTTAAATTAAACCAATGCAACAAATAGACAAATGTGCGCGCATTTCTTTAAGACAGACATCACGTTTCTTTAAGACAGACATCACAAATAAACATCACGTTTCTTTAATTTTGCTTATGCAAACATTGCCGTTTGATTAAGATTTTTCAAAACAAACGCCGTTAATTTTTTCAAAGCAATTTTTTCAAAATAATTTTGCGATCAATAGTTTTTTATTTATTACAAAAAACACATATTTAAAATGAAAAACAATCAATTACAGAGACTTTTTTTAAAAAATGCAAAAACAATTACTTTTTTTCAATAGCGTCACTTTTAAGTAAAATAAATATAAAAAAAATTAATTATATTTTAACATGGTTTTTGCATGCGCTCACAAAAGTATGATAATTTTACTTAAAATAGATGCTTTTGCAAATTAATCATTTAAAAAATATTAAGTCATAAAAAAAAGCTTCTAGCCACAACAATAAATTTATAATAAAAGAAATTATTTTATAAAAATATTTTGAAAAAAGACTTTAATTATGATTTGAAAAATGTAAATATGAATTGAAAAATTAAAGTTTAGTTTTAAAGGAATGTAAAATAGTAAACATTAAGGGTAAAATTTAGTTTTGAAGGAATGTATAATAGTTTTTCAGTTTTTATTAAAGAAATTTTATTCTTAACATCTGCTAATTCATTACGTAAAACATCTCTCTCCATCATGGATTAACATAAATTATAATATGCGAAAGCTAGTTAAAAACTTTTTTTTCTTCTTTTATTAAAAGGGAGAAATGTTTTGTATAAAAGAATTTTTTTCACAAATGTATTAAAAATTTTTTGTTTCTTATTAATTCCATATCTTGTAAAGTTTGTAAATAAATTATGTTTACTTTTATTTTACTTAGGTTTATCTTATTATTAACTGATAAAATTTAGCTATAAATTGTTTATAACCTATATTAAAAATGTTACATTAAATTTGTAAAACTAAAATAAGTAAATAAATTGTGATAAACAAACAAAATATTATGTTAAGTATAAGGTTGTTTTAAGAAATAGATTATAAGGAAATGTGATCTTATTAATCAAATACTACCAAATTTATATTCTATCAATAATTTTTGTTGAATTGGTTTTATATGAGTTTTAAAACCATTTAAAATTAAATTGATAGTGTGTACTTTTAAACACTTTTAAAGTATCACTAGTTTTCAGCCTCCCGTATCAAATAAGATCTTAATAATTACAACACATTAAAAGCAAACGATTTTAAAGTATTTGTAAGTATTTTTACATTTGTCAAGACTTAGATGTTTTAGAAATAAATGCTGATTTTTTTAATGAATACGTATTATATATACCCTATACGTTTAATTTAAGTGAAAAAACTAATGGGGTAAATATCGGCATGTGCTTTATCTGAGAGTAGAAAAGTGAATATTATCAATGATTTTCAATATTACTTTTATTTATGCTAATTATTTCTAGTCTACTGTAGCCATATAAGGAAATATGACTAGAATATATTAGAACTCCGCTGAACATTTTTTTTTTCGACTGTACTTTTAACTTTGTTTTTCTTTTCTTTAATCTTTGTATTTATTTTCTTGAAATTTTTGCCACAAATTGAAATAAATAATTGAATTAAAGTTATTTTAATTGCACTTTTGCACCTTTTTTTTCTATAATAGGATGTTTAATATATATATATATATATATATATATATATATATATATATATATATATATATATATATATATATATATATATATATATATATATATATATATATATATATAGTGAATATTCGTTTTATTACGTAATATCAGCAGTTTTTAAAATGATTTTAATGAGCAGAGAAATAATTTGTGCAATTGCTTGCTTTAACGTGGTTAATTTTAAAGATTAAAGTTCTAATTTAGTTACCGTTTGAAATTGTTGTACATAACTATAAACATTTTCACTTCCAACTTTTTTTTTTTTTCTTATTCATTCGCAAAATCTTTTCAATGAAAAAGTTATTTTTAAATAAATTTAAACTTATTGATAGAGCGTTTGCACATTCTTTTATTGATGAAAGAATCAGACAAAGCATATATTTGAAAATATATTTTCAGTAAAAACTTTGTTTTAAGTAACATAAGTAATTGTTATCGTAGCATTTCAAAAAAATGATTTCTTTTAGTATTAAGTATTCAGTTTAAACTTTTAAAATATTTTATAAAAATTGTTTCATATTAAGAAAAAAAAAAATTTAAATTAAACTATTTGGATAATATCAAATTTCCTTTATTAATTAAATCAAAATCTGTGCGTGCGAGAATTGTTTTCACTATTAACAGTAGCTGGTAGTTAGAATGTTAGTTATTTGCATTTCCAATTTTAAAAATACATCAATTTTATTTAAAATTATTGTTATAAAAAGTATACAAACTCATTAATTTTCAAGCATGAGTTGTTATTTTTGTATATATAAAACACAGTCATGAAGAACTATTGCTAAGATAAAAATTTAAACAGCAAAAGCAATAAAACTTTTGACTGTCCAAAAAAAATAATTGACAGTCAATTCCATGTGTTAGCCAGTCAATTTGACTACTGGCCTTCAATTTTTTATTTTCAATGCTGTGTCTTTCAATGTAAAATTCCATTTCTAGTTATAGTAATGATGCTACTAATACTGATACTAGTAATAATAATAATAATAATGATAATAATAATAATACAAATTAATATGTCTAGTAATAAAAGTAATATTAATAATCTTTAACTATAGTTACACTGAGAGTTTTAAATTTTTTTCTGAATCCATTAGTTATGTTTATGTAAATTTTGGCAGTGAACAATAAAAATCATTTTAGGGAGAGTTAAGTTATGTTAAATAACTCAAACTAATTTTTTAGATAAAAATAAAAGTTGTTTCTTATTCATAGATACCAGGCTTGTTATAAAATTTTATTGCGTAACAAAAACACGTAACGCTATAAATGAAACTTTAACACAGCTTTGATTTTTATATCATTGAAAGTTAAATTGCAACATAGCATTTTTAAAAGTACTACATTGTAATTTAATTTAATTTTCTGTACATGATTTTTTGTTTCTTTATCACAGATTATTTAATTCTTTTTTTTATGTATATTTTAATTCATTATAAACAATTTATAGAGAGATTTTAGTTAAAAATAACAAGCCTTTCCAGAAAGTGTGTGCAGTTGCACACCTTGTTCGTCCACATCTAAGTTAATTTTTTTAGACACAGACCAGTGTAGTTTGGATCTTTTAACATTTAAAGCATTTTAATTATTTGTGCAAAAAACAAATTCTACTGAGAAAAAAAAACAATAATAAAAAAAGGAAATAAAATGGCAACAAAATATCAAATTTTAATTAATTAGACTAGAAAAATTACTAATAAAGAAAAGAAAAAATTAAAAAAAAAACTTTTTCTAAAATATTTATACAATTTTTATATTCTTTTTTTTTTAACAAATTTGATATAATTTGATGAAAAAACTTATAATTTATAACAATTTATCAACAATTGAAAGTTTTGATATGCAATTTATTCATGATTTTTATCAGTTCTTATAATTAAGAAACTAATTTGCTATAAATGCTAGAAAATTAGAAATTTTGTTAATTTTTTTTTCTTTCGTTTATTCGTTTTCACCACTTTTCACTTCTAAAACTGTTTTTTGCTATATTTGATGTTTTTTCTCAATGCTTATACAGGCTTGGTCGGGAAGCGGGAGCGATTGCTCTCGAATACTGACCACAGAAATTATATTTAGTTGCGTAAAACTGGCCAGGTTTTTTAGTCGTTTTGAGAACATTTAGGTTTATGTACAAAACAAAAAATTTTTGTTTTACGAACATACATGGAAACATAAAAAACTTGAATGTTCTCAAAACATCTTTGTGCAAAAGAATAAAAAGAATGTTTGTGAACTCTAAAAACCTGCCAAATTAACTAAAAACTAATTCTATTGGTTCAAAAAATATGCTGATTAAGCGAAATAAATTTCTAGAAAATGTTTTAGAAATTCTATTCACGATTTGTTACGTTTTGAAATTTGGCATTGTTTTAAGAATATATATTATTTGTTTACGAAAATAAATGTTATATATATATATATATATATATATATATATATATATATATATATATATATATATATATATATATATATATATATATATATATATATATATTAAATTGTTAAAATTTTAAAAGTTTATTATAAATCATTGATTTTATTAGTATATTCTTATTTTTTATTTTAAAAGAGATTGTATTCTTTATGTAAATGTAATTTTATGT